ATGGTATCGTATACATCGTCACAGTACTTTTCGGACTTGTCGGTGGTTTAGTCAGCGTTCTGCGAATGATTGTGCCGTTCTTTGTCAAGTTGATACGAAGGAAAAACTCATCATCGAAATCAGAAACGGGTAAGAGAACGCTGTCGTTCGAATATCTGTACATATTAACTCACTTTTGACAAAGTATTCAATACGTGAGAGATTTCTAGGAAAAGAACAGTACTCTTTGAAAAATACTACGGATCCGAACACATTCATGTGAATTGAGTCCGCTTGCCCATATGCTGTTATGTCAGAACTGTCTATTCGTTCATATTTATATTTTCCGTCAGATGATTAAATAATTCGTTACAACGACATAATTGCTAATAGTTTGTATTGATTTCTGATCGAGGGAGCAACTTATTTAGTTAAGTATGCAACACACTCTCCAAAATGATCAGAGAACTTCCTGTAGATATGCATTGATGATTGGATTTCGTTGATAGTTTGTGAAAATCGATCAAGATTAGGTTTTGTTCAAATACTCAATGATTTATGTTAATGGCAATCGGGGCGCACCTTCAGATTCTGTAAACTACTAGTCGTAAACAACTCTTTCAGGTATCTTGATGCATATATAGTTAAACTTTGGAATATCTTTAATGTAGTGTATTCACTATGATAGTCTATAAATGAATAATATCGAATCTAGACTTCGTTATGCAATTAATCTCAGTTTATTATTCTTATTATGTTGCAGAAACGATGAATAATAGAAGAAATCCAACAGTTTGGCAAAAATCACTTCATTTTATCCGAGCGTTCAATCATTTTCCGTCGGTACCACCGTCAGTTAACGAACGTGCTCTCCGAAATGAACGCATATCAACACGACTGTTTATTTTCCTCCTCGTTCTCTCATCAATCATTCTTCTGTTATACAACTCACTCATCAATGTCATCACCATCGAAACGGCCCAATCGCCCCCTTTCGAACAATATCGACAACTGTACAAAAAATATCCTCAAACACTTACATGTCCTTGTCAGAGTCTACTGATTGATTATGAACATATTTTCGATCTGGATTATACATTACATCAAGTATGCACCAGCATCTTTACCACCCAACAATGGACGGATTATCTTTTTTCATCAAAACCCAATCATGTATACAGCACTGATTTTCGTGTGGTAGGCAGCTATTTATTTGAGTCACTCGATATATTTTGTCAGTTGGTTAATCGAACAATTCGAAACGATAGAGAACATTTTTGGCGTAATCATTATGTTAGTGCAATTGTCACACCTATGGACTTATTCAAATCACAAATTGAAACATATGTTCATCAACTGCGATCATCTGCAACAAACAATTTCATTCTTTCGCTTAATCTCCTACGTAATACGACTCACATCAATGCTTTATTATCACCAATGTCGAACAACTTTCATCTTAGTAGACCGCTTGGCAGTAACACATACTCTTCAATTCCAACTCTCTTCGACAATTGTCGTTGCGATATTTCAGCAATGTGTCTTGGACCATCAGCGATATTAGAATATCCCAGTGGTACACCAAAATTTTATGTGCCTGGCGTTTATCAAGGCTGTTACACAGTCGAAGCACTTCTTCATTCGACTCTCGAATGTTTTTATAATTATACATGTCTCCAAGAACTTCAGTTACATACATTAGCGTCCAAAACATTTTATGTAATGCCTCTGAATTCATTATTGAAAAGTAAATATCCAATTAATTCCACAATCGAACAACTCCTTGATCAGTTAATGATTGAAGAATGGACATGGTCAAGTCATTACGAGCAATATTATAATCACTGTCGACCTGTTAACTGCACGTATAGTTATCGATCAAAGAACGGTTTGATTTATATTGCAACAACATCGATTGGACTTCTTGGTGGTTTAGTTACTGTTTTAGAATTTACCATCCCACGACTGGTCAAATTTATTGATTGGATAATTTTGGCACGAAGACAAAGAAGAATCGTTTCTGGAGCTGTTCACTGTTGACTCCTAAGATAATAAAGGACAATAAACACGGATATATCACAGTCGTGCTTGACCTTTTTCATTACAAACCTATTTGGGGTGAGGATGAGGGTGCATCTCTATATTAAATAGAATTCGCCGCAATCCGGATTTCGATCTTTGATGAGAAGGATCTCAACAGATGGCTGAATAGTATCTACATTCTAAGAAATAAAGTATTCTGTAAACTGAAAAGATTTGTTAAGCCATATTTTGAGAATGCGATATGTATAGGCATGCACCAAAACCAAAACTTTTAGTTTTGACATTGGTTGTGGTTTTGAGGTTGAGTCAAGCTGCCATGACGCGTTTCGACTTCTTAAAGTCTCTTCAGATGGCATCAATCTCAATTCGATTGAAAACAATCACGAATTCAAGTATTTCTAATCAAACTCAAACTCAAACATTTACTCTGTTACAAATCAAATGAATTTCAAAACAACTTAATTTAAAATCATTCTCATTCTTACATTTCTTGACAGTCGATGACGATGGATTTGGTTGTTGATCTCGGGTGTAGATGTGGAGTATCATAAATCTAGAAAGAAAATAGCGAAACGTAAAATGATTTATTATCGTTCGATTGAAGCGAAGTAAGCAAAAATGTATGACGAGAAGAAAGGAAGGATCGATACTAGTACTGCATGATTAGTAAGATAGACTACAAAGAAAGAATAAAGTGTCTAAGAACAGTATTTTCAAATTATTCACTATATTCATGAACTGGTAGTATGCCTTCATTGAGTTCCAATGTTATGGTTGATCGTCGTTCTTTAATATAGTTTGCACGTTTAATCATATGCAATCGACGTGTGTGTATAATATCATACAGGAACTCATGCCATTTCGGTTTTTTTCCTTGAATCTATTGTGTAGCAATAGTTTATCTTTTATGGACGACATCGTTGCAGTTAATTCTTCTAGTTTTCTGTGGTTTGCAAGAATTATTTGATCGATAATATAGTTTTTTGAATTTATCAAGTTATGCATTTTATCTGATTGTGAACCATCGGTAAAAGATAATTTGCGTGTTTTATTCAATTTTTTTATGTCAGTATCAATATTATTGATTACTGCATGAACATGATCAATTGGCGATTGAAGTGATGTTAGTATAAGACGACGTTTTTCTAATAAAGCAATATTGTTTCCAGTCATCATTTGTTGCTTTGTTGCTTGCCATATATGTCTTGTCCGAGTGATCTATAATCAATGGAAGTGAAGTAGATATTCAATATAATAAGTGACACTTGATGATATATAGTTACTTGATTTTTACTAAGGTTCAGATTATAAAATTCTCGAATCACTTGATGATCAGTAGCGTCCAAAATGACCATATCTCTCTTATATTCGAAATCGTGTTATCAAATATCGTCTTCAAGAAATTGTATCACAATGTAACATTAGTGCTGATTGTGTCTGTGAAATGAAAGAATTATCTTCAGTTCTCTATG